TCCTCTATCCACTACTTTACTACCATTTAGCCTCTCTACTGAACTCTTTATGGAAGACAAAAGCTATTGTGCCTATTTGAAGAGCTGCCTATATTCCAAATGGACTTTTTAGCTTGCTGAGAATGAAGATTTAGAAGTGGCCCTTAACCTACTTTCAACTATTTCTAAGATGTAGAAATAACTCTGGAGTAGAACAGATCTCCTAGGGCTAGGAATTTGAAATGAGAGTAGCCTTAGACTACTAGTAATGCTACTGATGCTTTAAATGAGTTAACACTTATTCTCCAAGGATCTCAAACCTGAATGTATGTGATGGTAAGTATCATCATCTCCACTTAGACAAAATGAATCATCATGTCAAGGCAGGAGCAGGGGACTCAAAAACCTGGTTCTGAACCACTCCTTTTCCAATCAGATCAATCAGATTCTTCCATTTGCTGTAAAAGTGTGCATTTCCAAGAAGACTGTATTTTGAATAGGAGTGCATCACCTAGAATTAGTGTTTGAAAAATTGGTTTTCTCTGATGAAATGTAAGTTTAATATGTCTGAAATTCACTGATAGTTCCTCTCAATTTATAATTCATGCTATTCCTAATACTATTTCTTTTTCTCTTTTTAAATGACAGGTTAACATGGTTTCACTGAAGTTTTCCTCCTCTTTGTTATTTTGAGATCTAAGGATTTTGTCTTCTATTTATATATCTTCTCCATGTCTTCCAATGAAAATTCTCCTTACTCAATACTAATAAATTATTAGTCATTTATTGACAAATATTCATTATCTACAGGAAAGAACATAAACTCTTACTACTTTCATCTATTCAAAATAATAAAGAATTAAAATCATGCTGATTTTCTCTTGCCAAGGAGAAGAGTGAACTGGGTTGAGTTAGACTGAGCTGCTTAAAGACACGTTGACTCATTCTGCTATAAGAAAACCTGTAGGTAATTCTTAGGGTCATGAAATTTAGAAATAGAAGAATTAGGGTATATAGAGTTGGTAATGACATAGAGGAAGGGATAAAGGAAGGGGGAGGAGGGAGGGAGACAGGAAGGAAGGAATGAACAAACATTTTTGTAAGAACAACTTTGTACCAAACATGCGCTATGCACGTTATCAATATTATCTCATTGATCTTCACAAGATGGGAAATATGTGCTATTATTATCTACATTTTCAGTTGAGGAAACTGAAATAGAAGTTAAGTGACTTGTCTAGGGTCACACAGCTAGTGTATCAGGTCTTCAGGTCTTCCTGACTCCACATCTAGTATTTTATTCACTGTACCACTATGTTCCTCTAGAGGTCATTTAATCCAAACCCTTTGTTTTGTATTAAGAAACAGGCCCAGAGAGGTTAACTGTCCAGCCCAAGGCCACATGCACAGTTGTGTTGGAACTTGGGTTTGAGCCTAGGTTTTAATCTCAGATGTAATGCATTTTCCACTGTACTATCCTTATGTCATCTACTATGGTGTGCAAATTGCTTTGGCCAAGCAATAATTTTTTATATAGCTTTTGTTTGTTTATTTTGGCTATTCCCCTGGCACTTTCTGCTTAATGCCATCACAGTCTATTTAATTTCCTATTTTCAGTATCACCTATGACTCCTAGTACTTGGGGCAGCAACTATAACAGTCATCATTTTTTTTTACTACTTCAGTCCTTTGCCAAGAGAATCTGGTAAATATAATGAAGAAAAAGAAATGTAGTAGCAACAAGTATGCAGGGTACTATATCACTGAGCACCTAAATTTGATTCAATTGTTTGTATTAATCAAGTAATAAATATTTTATCAATCTTTCCTTCCCACTACAACACCTTCCATTGAGTAATTTTTAATCCCTCAATACATATCTACATGGCATAGAGAAAAGGTTCCTATATTAACCATGTCCCAAAATGTGTATCTTTCTGGATTTTCAGTTTATCTTCTCTGTATCAGAATGTGAAGGTCATATTTCATCTTGATTCCTTTTCTTAGAGATCTTCCTAGTTTCTTCTGAAATTGTTCATTTCTGTATTTTTTGAAGCACAATAATATTCAATTACATTCATATACCATGATTAGTTTAGTCATTCCCCTATAGGAGGACACTATCTTAGTTGCATGATAACTTCATTGAATTGTCATTTCTTTCTTTTATTAATGAAACTTTAAAAAATGTAAGTTTTCCCCCCAGAATTGCTTTAGTGGTATTCCATAAGTGTTGGTATATCATCTCATTATGTCATTTTCTATAATGAAATTGTGTATTGTTCTATAACTTATTCTTTGATAGAGTAGTTCTTTAGAATTGGGGTTTTAATCTATAATTACTTTTTAATTCTTTTTAAGAGACCTTTTGTTAAACAACCTTTTATTGCATCATGATCAGTAAATCATTGATTCAGTCTTTCTGATTTTCTTTTTTTTTTGGTGAGTTATTTATACCCTAATATATGGTCAATTTTTGGTACATGGTCAAAGGTGCCATGTACAGCTGAAAATATATATATATATTCTCATCCAGTAATTACCAAATATTTATCATCTCTAATTTTTCTGATTTTTCTATCATTTTCTATCATTTCTAATTTTTCTTTTTATCTTTTTGTTAGATTTGTCTAAGTCTGAAAGGAATACATAGTTCAACTGCTATTTCTCCCTTTAGTGCAATTAAATTCTTTCCTTTAAATATTTAAATTTTATGATGTCAGGCACATATATTAAAATAGTGACATTAATTTATTATTTATGATGTGTTTTAGCATAATATACATTTCTTGCTGATCTCTTTTTGTCTTTTATGTATTTACTGTAGCTTTCTCTAAAATCATGACTTCTACCCCTGCTTTGTTTAATTGAGCAAAAGCATAATAGATATTGAGTTAGTCTTCCTTTTTAACTCTATGTGAATCTTCATGTTTGAAGTGTCTTTCTTATAAAACCATTGTCAGATCCATTTCAATCTTCCTTTTTATGGGTGAGTTAATCCCATCCACACTCAAAATTATGATTGTTAAGTGTGTATTTCCCTCAATCCTACCTTCTTTGATTTTTTTTCCCTTTTTGCTCCTCCAACTTTCCTCTTTACCAATAAAAAATGGTGGTAGAAGAAAAAGAATATGGATATGGCTTTATTTTGTGAGAACTATGGGCATGTGTTTGCATCTATTTATAGTAGTCTAACTGAGAACATCTGATTTCGACCAAGTGAAAGTGGTTTGAAAGTGTTTCTTCACCTTCACTTAGTTTTATGTCAATCATTTGCTGGATTTTGTGCCATACACAACAGTTTTATTGTTCTCTTTTGTTCTACTTTTATTTCTGTGGCTTAAGAGAATGGATATTAAGTCAAGGAACTATGAACAAACTGTAGCTATTAAAGAACACATCTGTATAACTGGTAGAGATATCACAATAGTTGTTGTATAATAAAATCAAGCTTTTCAAGGATCATTCAAGCCCAACATTAAACATGATCAGCTGCAAAACCATAAAGTTTTGTAAAAGTAAAAGTCAAAAATGAAAATCAGCACCAAGAATTAACAGTTTTTGACAAAATAGCCTAATTCATCCTCAGAAAATAAACAAAGACTCTCAGAGAAAATTGACAGCTAGAGAAGTTGTTATTAATTCTTCTATACCATGGGGTATAGACCTCTTGAAGCTGGGAGAAAAAAAAACCATTAAAAGACTATTTTAAAGAAAAAACAACAGTTAACTTTTGCTATGGGGAAAAAATGATTGTCTTGGGCAAAACAATATATAAAGACTGGAGAATTAAAGATTAAGGAGAAAGGTAATTTTAATCATGGAATTCCCCTTTTCTTTTAAGGATATACTGAAAGTTTTATCTGAAATCCAGGGGAGCTCATTAGTTCTAGACATTTTTATTAAATTACAAAATATCCCCAAAATTGGGAATTTTTCTTTTACCTCCAATGGTCCTAGAAGTTATGTTCCATTGAATGATATATTTACTATTGACTTATTAAAAGGAAAATTAGACCAGGTGGCAAATCTTAAGCAGCTATTTTTAGGCTCCTTTCTTATTTTATTGAACATTAAATTTATTTAAGAAGTCTTAAGGAAATTTTGTTCCTCTAATACCATACTGAACTAGAGTCAGCTTGAACTAGCTTATAAGAGCAGATTGTTAAATTTTGAGAGTGAATATTTCCCCTTCAGAAATTGGCAATGCTACAAATCAGAGCTTGATTTTTTTGCTTTGTTGTTTGCCTAGACTTAATAAAGTGATGAGGAAATGTTAATAATGCAGATTGAGTAAAATCTATATTAAAAATAAAATCTTCATTAAATAATGCAGATAAAAAAGATTAAAAGTGTGTTGTTTATACATTTTTTTAGAGAGGCAGTTGTTAAACATTTATCAGCACATCTCTGCTGAACATCTTTGACTTCTGCCATTCATTCCTAGTTTCAATCACTGAAAGCATTCAGAATGATAGATGACAGATTTTAAGAGGCAGAGGAGATTTTAGTAGTCATCTAGTCCAACTTGCACAAGAAAGGAATACATACTATAAGTCATCAGCTTATCCACTTGACAAGGAAGCTGACATCACCTTAGAAAGCCCCAGCCTAAGTTCATAACAGCAATGTGACATCATTCAATATTTTCATGTTGTTGTCATTGTTTTTCTGGGTATATCTTCTATACTCCTGCCCATAGATAGCAGATAGAACATAAATGAAACTAAGTATGTTTTTTGTAAAATAAAATGCAGCAATTAACTTTTCATCTCCTCTGTGCTAATTTTCACCAAGTAATATTTACTACTGACCCTCAAATGTGACACACTTGAAAAAGAAAAAAAAAGAGTGAGTGACTTAAGAATTTCATCCTAGGCATTATTACTCCAATTCAAGATGAGGTCTTCTCCCATGGGAGCTACAGGATGATGTTTATTTTGGTTACCTGTTATTCCTTTGAAGTACACTGGTCTTCAGCTGAAGTTATTCATTGTGCTTTTCTTTACCTTCTCTTTCAGGTCACCGTTTTGGCTCAACAAAGATGTCCCGGGCACAAACGTTTCCCAGCTACACCTCAGAACAGAATGAAGAGCACCAGCAGCCCCTGTCGCTGTCTAGCAGCTATGGATTTAGCTACAGCTCCAGCCTCATCCAATGACACACAGAGAACCACTGTTGACCAGAGAGACAGTCTAGCCTGAAACCTGCCCATAGGGTCAGGAAACCACTTGTACCCTCTGCATACATGGAAGACCAATTGCAGTGAAAACTGAGCTGTGTCAGTTCTAGTCCTGGTCACAGTTGAAGGTTAAAAACTGGAGCTCTGCTTCCTAGAGTCAGAGGCTAAGTCTTTTATTTATTGAATTTCTTTGGGGAATCTGTTTAAAGAAATTGATTTTGAATTGTAAGAAAAGTCATTTAAATAAACAAAACCCTTTTGGTCTGAAGGCAGTAAAGGCCTCCACATGGTGGGATATTGCCTGGATTGGGTTGTGATGTCTTGAGTATCAGGCACTTTCCACCTGCCTCCTTGGCTGAGATTTCCTATTTACACTCCCAATGACAGAACCTGTCCTTAGTTAATAGTGGTGGGCCACTGGAATCACTTCTGTGTTAGAGGTTTTGACAGGAATACAATCAGTGAACACCAGAAACAGCATCAAAACTGTTCATATAAATACATCCCATGGCAATTAAAAGAACAAGAAATTTAAAACACCATGTTAAGCAGGGCCCCATAGCTCTATTCTGTGTGTATATGCGTACAAGTGTGTGTATGTAGAAATATAGAGCCGGATATCAATCTATCCATCTATATATAACAAGTATTTATAAAATGTGTGCTGAGGGTGACAGGATATGCTCACTTAAATTGTTGAAAAATGTAATCCGGTGCATTCAAATTAAGATTGTTATGTCAATATCTATTTTTAAATTAGTGCTGTAAAAAGGCTTCTCATTAGCAAAAGTATTTATGTAATCAAGTCTGCACTTATGACAAATGTAAATGCGAAAGTGAGAAAGGGGAATGTGTTTGAACAAAATGAACAAATCCAGCTATCCCACAATTCATATTGTCACATTCTTTCTGGTTGGTGTTACCCTGGTTTCTGACATTCTCTGCCCCTTGCCCCTCTTGCATATCTATTTGAAGTATAAAAAACATTATAATCATTGATCAACTACCTGTTTAACCTTCAGCAACAGAGCAATTTAAAATGAAACATTAAGAAAGGAAAAATGTTTCTAAAAATGACCTCGGTGAAATCATTTTAGAATCAGCAAAAGAACAAAATGAGAAAGATTGCAGTAGATATCAAGATATTTAAATTTTCATAAATGCCATGTGCAGAATGCAGAATCTCAACCTCCTAAATAAAGAGAATATACTGTTTGAATTTTCCTTATGTGACCAGATCTGAAGTTATGTTGTAGGCACTAGAACTGACTATGAATATGGAGGAGATTTTATCAAGGACCACTTTTTATCCCCAATACCTTGTCTGATCAAGATAGCCCAAAGGGAAGAAGGAATTAATTGTTGTTTTGGGGTAGTCTGAGAATTTAAGTAAAAAAAATTATCCATCAATTTTATGGTGTTTTCAAGACAAAATGGAATATTTCTATCTGAATTATCTGGATAATTGTGATTGTGATATGTAATCAAAAATAGATAAAAAGAACTATAGCAGTTGTTTTTAATCTATGTAACATTAGAATAATGTAAATTTAAATGACTAATTAAGAATCATTTTGATTAGAAAATAATATGTTTGCTAGATGATGGTAAGGTCTTTAACTTCTATCCTAAATACCGTTTTCATTAACCTGATTGCTGGCAGATGAGACACCTTCAGCCAACAAATGCTGAATCAAAAGGGCATGGGTTTGTCTAAATGGGCATCACCCCTTACAATAAACTGTTGATAATCTTTCTGTCTCTCATATGAGGGTGAAATTCCCTCTAGAATGGCAGTTGTAATTCCACTGAAAAAAGTAATTATCCTCAGCCTTGATGGGGAGATGGGGAGCAGCGGGAAATTCCCTTCTCCCTAACCATGTGGACTTTGCTGAAACAGCAGGAGAGGAAATGACTGGTACCAAAAGACAGAGCCTACCCTGAAACCCCGCTTTTCAGGGTTGAAATTGCTTTGAATTACTTCAGCTCATGGCATTTGCTTTTGCAATGCCAAGCCTATGTTATACCAGAGCAACTTCCAGCTGAGAATATTTTCGCACAGCTCCTGGTGGAGCCTCATCCAGAGGGAGAGAGAGACTGTCTCTCCTTTGGCTCGCTCGGTTGAGCTGTTGCCTAGAGACCACAAGGTTCCACTTGGGACTCATGGGGGAGGGCCCTCAGGGGGCCTAGTTTATGTCTCAGCTTTATTAACATGCAGGCTGCACAGACAGTAGCCGGGGAGGGGGGAGGGATTACTAATTAGCTATGTCTGCTCTTGTGTTGGCTTATAGGGACCAACAATACCTGCACTGAAGTTGTTTAGGAAACAATATTTGGATCTGATCCTTAGTTATCAGTGGGACTAACTGATGGCAAACTAGTAAAGATAGGTCTGGTTGGACCAGTTCATTTGTAAAAGAAGTAAAGGAGAAAAAGAGAGACAGAGACAAAGACAGAGACAGAGAGGCAGACAGACAGAGAGATTGATTTCCTTCCTTAGTCTTGAATTGAACCTTATCAAAATGAGGAATAATGCTATAAAATCTCTCCTGCTTCGTTTTTGCAAATTTATTTTGGCATACCTTTGCAAGTACACACTTGGTGCAACTGTAGCCAAGATAAAACTGCAAAGTGAACGGATAAGAGAACTTATATCAATGTAATATTCTTGACACCAAGTAATGTGCATTGTAATAAAAATGACAAGCATATAAGTTTCTTTTCAACCACCAAAAATAAATGTAGTTGCTGTATTAATCATTTGGTACTTCATAAAACTGATTCAACTTGGATCAGCTAAAACAACTCATTTGAAACAGTCGAGGTTTTGCTGAAGATGTCTCTGCCATTTACAAATCATTTCTCTCTCTGTGAAGATGAATTGTCCCCCTGATTTGCATGTAAAATTCTCAAAGGAGGAGGGATAAGAATGGACCAAAGATAACTTCAGGTTCTTTATTTATATGGATGAATGGAGGAAACACTGTAAATGCATACTGGTTAATTAAAATAGCCAGTTTCACTTCTAAGTTAATGAACATAAGGAAAGGCTGAATGAATCCAGTACAGAAGATGTAGGATTCTCTGAGACTTGGATACATTGGACTACTTTCCTTTTCAATGCATGTGGCTTTTCAAGGATTTTTTTTCTTTGAGATTTCCTTCTCCTGCTAATGCTAACTGCTATAACATGTACAGAATTAATAGCATATGCATACACTATATTTAAAATAAAGGACATACAAAATAGCCTTGATCAAATAGCTATTATCCTGGTGGGGAAAAAAGACTTAGTATAATTTTTTTTTATTTATTTAAAATAGGCACTTAGAAAAAAAGTCATCGTGCAAGTTTCAGGTATTTTGACTGAATCAATTCTGGCCACAGATACAATTTGTATTTCCTCTATTGAAATCTATAAAACTACCTATATAGTAAAAAGCTAATAGGGTATGTGTGGAATAAAGTGGCATTTAGTAAAATTGAGCATCCCCTCTTCAGACAGAAACTAGTCAGATGACCATTGCCACATATCATTCAAATATCAATTTCAATGGACAATGATTTCTTAAATTCATTCTATCATTTTTAATTATGAAAGTTTACACTTGATATCCCTTGTGGAATGACAAAGAGGTGAATTTATTGTTGGCAGTAGCCTCTATGGAACCAATTTACTGCACATAATATCTTTATGGTACATATTAAAGATATTTTTATATAAGCTAGATTTTTGTCCCATTGCCTTTACCCAATATTTCAAAAACTTTTAAAAAAAAATAATTTCATTTATCACTAAAATATTCCAGTAATCTCTTTAAATTAGCATAATGATGGCTATAGGAAAGAGGCAATACTATTTCAGTGGGACTGAGGAGTAGCCTTTTGTTTTATGTATTATTTTTAAGTACCTAAAAATACTCAAAATGAAGGCAGTATATGTTTAAACAACTTTATCAAAATGGCCACGCCCAATGTTTTTCTAATTATTTACTAGTTCAATACCTGTTCTTCTCCCTCCCAACCCCCAAGTCTTTACAAAGAAGATAAAATACGCAGTTGGTCACACATTAACCATCATAAAAGGGGATACACTGCCTTAGTGAACCTCTCAAATGCTGACATCTCTCTCTTTGACATTTGTAAGCTATGGAACTTATGTAATACAATTTAGAATGAAAAGAAGATAAACTAGACTTCACAGTGATCATGGCAGGAGGAGTGGGGTGGGGGGTGGAGGAAGACCCAAGCAAGACAGCAATTATAGGCTAGATTAAGATTTTTTTTTCCTGAACTCTCTGCTGAAGTATTTGGGGTTGCTTGTTGCACCATTCCGATCTCAGTTCCCTAATGAGATGTCCTTAATATTCTGACTTTGGATTAGATTAAAATGGAAAAACAGAAAAAGGCAGAGTACCAGCTTTATACTGCCTTGGAAGAATGCAAAGGAGGATTGTTTCAGACCAGGCAAAGATTTGTTGTTCTCTCAATTTCTGGGAATGATTTAATAGGAAAAATTTGTAACAAAATTGTCTTGCAGTAGATAATAAGATAGTGAAATGAGACCTGCATATGAGTTGTTCACCACTATGTAGATGTAATGTCATTTGAGGGTTATGTTGGGGGCTAATTTCTAAACAGAGGCATCAACAGACTCATGAACATTCTCTGCATATATAAATAAAAAATTATGCAGGGTTAGACTTCTGGCCCCCCTTTCATGGAGCTTCCCCAAGCCTCTGTTTCAAAATTCCATTTTTGGCATTTTTACCACCTTGCCTGAATCTTTCCTACAGTTGCAGATACACTAAGAAGTATCATAGTATTTGTATAAGTGAAGTGATTTTTTTTGCATATGTATTTTCCAATTGGTCATAGAATTTTAGGGATAAAAGGGATCTAATCTCTTTATTGTACAGATGGGGAAAGTGAGACCTGAAGAGATTAACTGATTTTCCCTAGGTCATATAATTAGTAGTGGCAGAGCTGTGACTAGAACAGATCACCTGGTTCTCAGTGCAATACTCTTTCCTTAATTTGGACTGCAATTATATTGCTTCCCATCTTCCTTTTTAGTCTTCCCTATACTCTTTTTATCAGCTACCAATGAAGGAAGAGAGTAACCAAGTGAATTTTTTGACTCTTTTTCTGTTCCAACCTTCACTTAGCTCATCTCTGAATATTTTAATAGAGCACTTCATTATGATTATCACTCAGAACTCAATTGCTGCCATCATAGGTTTTTGCTATTGTTTTTTCTAGAGCCAGCCAAAAACTTTGCAGGCACTATTAGTTTTTATAGTATGTTATAGATAATTACCAAGTTCTGTGTGTGAAGTTAGAATTTATTGACCCTGAATGATAATTAATTTAGAGGATTTCAAATTGCTATGCTCTGTATTCCTAGAGATTCATCATATTGTGATTGTGATTACTATTACTGTTTAACCATTTCTGCAGCACTTTATGTTGTAAATATGTTGCAATCATTTACACACCCTTGTTAGGCAAATGTTAATATTACATAGACGGCTGGACGGCTTTGAATTACAAAGGAAAATGGGATGATTTTTTATTTTACCTGAAAGTTTCTACTTTTTGGTATCATGAGGCTTTTTATTTTCCCTCACATGCGCAAAAGCTTTTAAAAATATAATGTAAATGAAATTGAATTTAGGTATTATTGGTAAATATGATATTTTAAAAGAAACAAGAAAATTTTAGGTCTAAATTTTGCTGTTATGATTTTCCTGCCTCTTTACCTTTAGGGGACCTTGACTTTTCATCATTATTTAAAGGAGAAATGAGATTAGCTTGAAAGAGAAGAATTTCTATTTTCTTCTATATGTGTATTTGATGAATCATTTTATGTTATCCACTGTGCTTGTTTTCATGTAAGAGTTGCCAAGAGAATAGCTAAGTTTTAAAGTAACTTTTCCTTTTCTGGTTCACAAATTTCTCCAAGAAAAAAAAGCATTTCTATCCAATTTTAATAGTTGGTTTATTCAAATTCTAACCAAACATTTCATTGTTTGGAGACATGCAGTTCAATAAGACCTGAAAATAGACCAAATTCATTCAATTTCTTGACAGTCTTACATGAATAACTTGACAAACTGCATCATTTCCAATGACAGCTTTTCTGGACAAATGAAAGCAGAGTGTAAATACAATCTAATTGTCATATCAATGTGTCACCATGTTGGGGTTTTATGGCCCCCTTGACTCAACTAAGTTTCCTGTAAGTTTATGTGCATTCCTATTTTAAGAAAATCTGATACACAGAAATATTCAAAAAGCAAAAAAGGGATAACAATTTGAATTACAAAAGTATTCTTGTAAGATCCCTTTAATTAAAAGATCATCTAGTGTGTTTATTTGCTGGCCATTAACATAAAGATTGGGAGGCACAGAAATTTATAGCTAGAATATTAGGATTTCCTTGCCAATTCAAGTTCAGTTAGAAAGAAGATATTTCTGAAGTTCATAATGTAAGTTAATTGGAAAGCAAAATTTGATTTACAAATTTTTGTTTCACATACATCCTTTCATGTATAAATCACGTTAAACTTTTGTACATGCTTTTAATAATTAAAAATAAAAACATAGCCATACGGCTCAAAAAGAAGGTCCAACTCTCTGTAAAGGGAATTAAGCAATCTTCCTGGTTGTAGTCAGTCCTCAGCTTCTAACAGTTAACATTATATCACTGTGCCAGTAAAACCTAAATCTTTAGCTATCTCTTACAACAAACTGCACAAACTTCTTGACCTGATCAATTTGCCCAAGTTTGTCTATCTACAGCTCCCTCCTGGGGGTCTCCCTGTTTGCTCTTCACAGATTTTCCTGGAGTTATCAATGGCTTTTGATGCCACGTACATCCCTACTCTGGAATGATTTCTTTGTAGTTCTATAGCCCTTCATCTCATTCAACTTTCCAGGGAATTTTTGATATAAATTAAATTAGAGGTCAAATAGTTGGTTGCTATGTTTACCTATTTAACTGCTTCATAAACATTTTTTTAAAATTCCATATGAGTACGCTAGGTCTTTTATAATTGATTAAACAATTGATTCAATATTATTTAGGTTTATTTCAGCAAAAACTTAAATAGGTTCTTGGTTAAGAACATAACTCACTATTATATAATTGTTTCTATGGAAAAAATCAGATTCAATTTATATTGTTTTGATTTGCAATTTCCTTTTCAAGACTGTACCCACTGTAAGTTTGAACACTGACAGTACTTAAATGTTAATTGAAACATTTAAAATGGAATGGAAAAGATTCACAATCCCCAAAACAAAAATGAACATTTCTGGCAAAAAGAAAAAGAAAGAAAGAAAGAAAAGAAATCACATAGTGAAGAGATGGCAATAAAATTAGGACATTAAATTTTTAAAATTTTTTTGAGTGTTTTTCCCCTTGCCGAAAAGGCTGGCATGTTTAGTTGAAATCAACTAGTATCTCTTGAATTTACAGTTTCCATGTCCAGCTCTATACTAAATAAAATGAATCTAATACCATAGGTCCAATGTTTGTTATTCATAGTCCTATGAACATTGCAAAAGTTTGAAAAACACAAAAAGAAAAAAAAAGTATAGGTATAAAACTTGAATGATACTTTTATGCTTTTAAAAATACAAGCATGGAAAGATGGACAGAAGAATTTATTTATTCATGATTTTGCATGATTAGCATTTTGGATAATGGAATTAATGTTCTTTAATGTATGACTACTTAATGCAATTACCATTGTACAATACTGTAACTTTGGTTTCTTTACTTTATGTTACCATGTGAGGAAGTTTCTGTAACTACATAATTAAATAGAATTCTGACAATCATACACTGATAACCTTTAAAATGTCACCCATTACCTCACTTGCTAGCTTGCTATTTTCAAATAAAGGTGAAAGTTTGCCCTTTATTAAAGATAAGGTTACAAAGAATTTATTATGTATTTCCAGTATTTTCTGTAGCCCCATCTTATCTTGGCTCATTATTATTAGAATGATTAATCTGAATTGTGGAACCTTATGTTTGGAAAAGACCATACAGATCATCTAGTCTAATGTCTTCCAGAAGCATAAACCAGCATCTCTGACAATTGATCAAACAGACCGTGTTTGAAGACCTCTTGTGAAAGGAAATTCCCTAACTTTCAAAATATTCCATTGCCTCTTTGAATTCTTCTAAGTGTTAATGGGTTGTTTCTTGTTTTATTTTATTATGGCCTTTATTATAAGTCAGCTGAAATTTGTTTCCTGAAATTTCCACCATCTAAGACCAAACATAATAAGTCTGATTACATATATGAAATGTAATAGAGTCTTAATTTTCAGTCTCCTTCCTCTGCACACTTTCCATCTTGAGAATGTGGTACTTATAACTAAAAATAATGCTCCAGATGTGGTGTGACCAAAGCAGAGTGCAATGGGACCATGGCTTCCTTTGTTCAAAAACTAGTAGCTCTCTTACCACTCCTTAAAATTGCACTAACCTGTAGGACTATCACATTACATTGAGAATACATTCTGAACTTACTTACATTTTGCAAAAAGACTCCTAGATCTTTATCATATCAACTGCCACCTTGCCATCAAATACTTATGCAGTTAAATTGGGGTAGAGGAGAAGGGGGCACTGGGTGCATAATTTTGCATTCATCCCTAATATATTTCTTCCTGATGATTTCAGCCCATAGTTCTAAATTTCAAGGTGCTTAAAAAAATCCTGAATTCTGTTTCCTGTGTAGTTGTCCATCCTCATTTCCTATCATCTGCAAATCTTATAAACATGACATCCCTGTCTTCCTTAAAGTAACTGATAGAATTGTTCCACAGAAAGTAGCCAAGAACAGAGCATTGCAACATATCACTAGAAACCTTTAGAGGTATTTTGTAATTTTAGAGTAAGAAAGGACTGTAGAATTCATATAATACAGACTGATGCCACTGAATTATTACCATTATGCAATGCTTTGACTAACAAAGGTATTTATTTCATTAAAAATTTTAATTTTAGAACTGACCTTTTCCCCTCTTTCCTGAATCCTGATTTTTCCATCCTTTGTTGCCTCTTTATCCCCAGCTCCTGACGCCAAACTCAAGAAGAATCAGGAACTACTAGATAGAGGCTACAAAGGGCAAAGCAATCCATAGTAGAGAGTTTCAGTGCTCTCCTTGTTATTTGGGAAGTTTGGATCATGAAATGTTGACCTAGCTGAACTGTCCTCATTCTTATAGGTGAGGAATTCTAGACCCAGACAGATTAGGTGACTTGCCCAATTGGGATCACGTAGGTAGTTAATGGCAAAGCCAGAACTAGACTCCAAGTCTCATGATGTCTACACCTCTAATAACCAAAGAATATTTCCAGAATGTAATTATATGGCAGTCCAAGGTTTAGCATCCAAGATCAACAGCAGAGAAAGCAAAGTTAAACAGTGACCCTACACAGACCTCATCATAAATGTGTACTTTATCCATATATCCATGCTTTAGAGTTTGAATAGTTACTTTTTAGTTTTGTTAGTAGGTTGATGGGTTGAGAGTTTGGTTGTTTTTTCCTCCTTTAAGAAGGTCCTTGTCATGGACCTCTAAAAGAGCAAGCATCTTGCTGACATATGAGAAATCAAAAGACTTGGGATTTTGTACTGAATTCTAAACCTGGAAAGGAGCTGTTAATGAAGAAATACACTACAACATCAAGGACGTAGTGCCACAGGTAGAGCAATGAAAGATATAAATTTATATGTAGACAATCAAAAAAAGGTAAGAATTTAATTTTATGCAACCTATGTGTATTAACTTGGTTGTGATGATAACTACCATTCTCTCCCAAAGCTAATCAAAAAGCATCCACCAGAGATTAAGCTGAGGATTTAGCTTTCCACTTTCACAGAGCTTTGGTAGTAAAGACTTTAAGGGCTAATATTTTTCTTTCTGTATATTTATGTTAGCCATGAGCTAATTATTGTTATTAATTATTATATTAATATATGATATACTGAAGACATCTTTTTGATGCATGCAAACTCTGTGTTAATCTTCATGCAAAATGTGGAGTATATGCAAGATGCTTAATAAATAACTCAATCACAGGGCTGACTTGAAGAATAATTATCATATTCTTTTTTTTCAATAAAAAATTATTAAATGGTTAAAAGAATCTCTGACCTATCTAAGGAGTTACATTACATGAAAGTGGCTAAATATGTATTCATTAAGTATTACTTTGGGAATGTCTATGTTATATTACAAAAAGAAATTGTCAAGTAGGAAGCAGAGAAATATTAGGAAAAAAACCATCCAGGAATAAAAGCTACTCATTTGCCTAAATCCTAAAGAAATTGGGCCATCAAATTAGGGAGAATGGATCAATAGATATAAAATCTAATCACTGACATTTCATTCAGCAATATTGATTGAGTACCTACTGTCGAAGAGGTATTACTCTAAGCTGCCAGCCTAGAATACATGCACTCTCTTGTGCCATTTCTTTCTTTTCTTTTTTCTTTTTTTTTTGTTTGCTTCATTTTTGTATGAGTCTCTGTTTGTGAGAATTTTGTATGTTGACTTATATTAGATTTTTCTTAATAGAAGGAAATGAGGATCACTAGAAGTGTGGAAATGAAAGACTATGGAAAGAATTATCTTGCTGGCTTAATAAACTCTCATGAGCATTTTAGAAGATTTTTAAAGACTCTAAGTTATTTCTGCCATTAATTGTAAAGTGATAATTGAAGTAATAACTATTTCTATTTAGCTCTGTAGATTAAAAAACATAAAACAGATTTTTGATCATTTGATGTGGTTTGGCCCTAATCTTTTATCACTAAAAATTGTTGAGCAAACATAATGGGAACCTATAATACAGCCAAAAAAACTATCCCAGCTAGTCTATTCCCATAAAGGCTAGCTTTTAAAACTCTGCTATACACTATTGCTTCAATGCCACCTGAATGGAGGTGAAAGAGGACTATATCTCAGCTTTCAATGAACAGGTGAATTTTGATGGCTTTTCTAAATAACCTCTTTCTTCCCCCTCCCCTCCCTTGAATAGCTTCTAAGCCTGGAAATAAGAAAAAAAAATATGGCATGCTCTTCAGCAATAACTATTCAAAACAAATAAAAATAAAGAGAATCCCACACATTTCAAGTCATAGGAAAGGCTGATTTTTATTGTGCTGTGGCTCTTTGGTTGCTGTTCCTTGAATGTTATTTTCCCAAACAAATCTCTTTCCTATTCTAATAATGAGATGGAATTAAAAATCCTACATTCTTATTCTACATGGTAAGCTCATAATGCATACTCATAATTTGGGGTTTTAAAAAACACACAGACATGTGAAATTGTATTTCAAATAGCTAGATGGACATAAAGGAAGGGCATGATTGCCCTGCCTATGAAATATCCAGGGCACTAACCAGAAACAAATTATAAATCAATGATTTCCTAATCTACTCAAATCATTCACTATCTTCTCACCCTCGGCAGACATATCTGAAAGGTTTCAAAGAATATATTTTTGAGCTAAACTCCTCCTATTTTTCATCCCTACTCTCCCCTACCCCCAAATTGAGGGAGGACTAAATATTAATAAAGGGACACTGGGAGTGGAACCAAGAGTTCCAACTGGGAAAGGTTAAATTGAATTCATCTTATTATCATATGGGAATTATTTTTAAATGGAATCATAAGGTCTTTGGTTAGAGAAAAGGACTGATGTTACAAGGTTTTATTTGTGATGCTGTGCACAATTTTGACTGATATGGTATGACATCCAATAACTCAGGTAAAATCAACATTACTTACAGTACATTTTGGTGTCTTTTTCACAAATATAATGCATCTTCATTCTCATGTGAAAACATTGGTATTTACTAATTCTTTAGTAGATTGGGATAGGTAAGGAGAAAGTGGGTGATAGACCCCTTGGAATATGTATAGGTATTTATTGGGGAGTACCAAGACCCAAAAAGGTGTTTTCTAGTGATATTTGACATTGTAAGCAATGGGACTCTTTAATGCTATGTTCAAACTTCTATTTGGGGTGGATTTAAGGGTGGGGGGAAGGGTTGGTTTTGTTTTGACATTTCTTTAATATAGCTGAAATGCATAGCATTTCATCGTGGTGACCTCTCCAGGAGCCCAGGTCACCACTATATTGACATATTTTACAAAAAAAAAAAAGACCACAGTTATTTTACATGGGCATAATCTTCTCCTTGAGGCTAAATGAAAAGTTGTTAGGGTTTTTTAACTATCTTAAACCTCTTTTCAAAGCTAAGAGCTGATAAATGTTTTAGGCAGATATTGTTTTCATATACCTTTAGAAATATTCAGTATCACTACTACTTTCACTCATATGTAAAAAGGAAGGTGATGTGGATGGAGCAAAAATTATTACTTGGTCTATTATCTAAGTTTTAAGGCATCATGTATGCAGAAATGTGTGATCATCCATCTCCAGCCATTCACTTGGTTCTTTCCTACAAGTTAAAGTGGCTGCTTCATGCAGAAAACATTCCACAATAAGCACTTGTGCAAAGGGCCAAAAGGATGTGTAGACCCTCCCCCCTTTCTCGGGTCTGCCTTCTGTTTTTCTTCCCTTTTTCTCTTTTATGTGTTCTCTTCTGTAGACTTCTGCAGTATATATATATATATTTTTTGTAAACACTCTTAATCTTGCTGTTTCTGCTTTGGCTTCTCTTACCCATGTAGTCTTCTTGTTCTCATTTATCTTTTGTGCAACTAACCCTATAATAAATTTAAATATACACTATCAGTGAAACACTGACCTGTGTTTGGTATTTTTTTTCTTTTAGTGTAGTTCTATTTTTAAAAAGCACTAAATAAACATGATACTTCAGGTGGGGATCAAGCACTCACAAAAAGTTAATCTTTTGTTTAGCTGCCTTCCACCAAACACAGAAGAACATGAGAC